ATAGAGAACTGGGGTACAGGCCAGAGGTGCAGGGGCAGTGAGAGGATTACCAGAGACAGTGGGGAGCAGAACAGGCAGATTGTGGAAGTAGACTGCTGAGGGGAGCAGCAGGTGGGTCAGAAGAGGTCTGCCCCGCCATGTGGGTCACCTCTGGGGTGGGAATCAAACTCACGCGGAAGTGGCTTTAGCTTCTTAGTGCTGTGCTTTAAACTGCTGCACCACCAGGGAGGGCCCAGCCACTTATATAATTTTTAAAGTGTAAGCCTCACTCATAAAATGAGTTTGGAAACATTTAATCCACCTCTTTTTATTAGATATGTTGTGTAGATTGATAGTATTTTAAAAATATATACTAATGATAAAATATCACAATGTAAAATGCAGAGAGCTCATATAACTATAAAGCATACATAAAGTATAAAGCATAGATAAAACACGACAATATGGAGTCACAACAGGCAGGTTTTATTGCTCAATAAGAGGATGTGTTTAATAAAGAGGAAGTTATTATATGCCCAGTAAAGAGAAGTAAAAAATTATGATGTATTATTTTATGTAAAAAATGATAATTCAATGAAAAGCATGACTTTATATTATTTCATTATTTCAAAGCTATATATGCTTTCCTCCACAAGAATGCCAAAGTCATTCTGAATCACTTTCAGAGTGACTTAATAAAATAATAAATTTATTAAAGAAGGCATAAATCAGAAATCAGTTTTAACTTTAAAAGATGTATCTGATATGTGCATCTACTGTTATGAAACAATACCTTTACTAATTTAATTTCCAGCACTATCTAGACTCTGAGCATTATGAGGACCAAAGAATATCTGAATTCCTATCTCATCCTCTTATATATCATATCTAATCACTTCTCTGTCTCTCGTACAAAATTCACAACACAAACACACATCATTCTGTCGTTTTATCTTAACAATGATGTGGAAAGAAATACAAAGTGAAAAAGTTTATATTTTAATAGTTTTTAAAAATATCAATATATGTTATTTCCCAATCTATCAAAGCATTGTTCATAAAATTGTATGAGGCAAATGATTTTATTGCATGATGAGCAAATTTTATTAAGTTTTTGGAATTTTTTAGTTCATCTACAACTTATGTCCTTTAAACAAATATTTTTATATTCATGATGCATTAACCTTTTTGTTCTCCCTCTCTAGCAGAATGTCTTTAAAGGACAATGTCCAAATTGATGTCTTCAACTCTACAGATTTCCACCAGGCTCAGGATAATATGTCCAACTGTGTATTTGAAATTGCAACACTGTTCCTGAAATTGGAATCATCATGGAGTCAGCTACCTTTCTCTCAGATGAATTCTTGCAGATTTGACTTCTAAAATATTTTTTCTTATCAACTTGTTTCCACTACTCCCATTCTGGTAAAAGCCACCATTGTCTCCAAAACTCAGTTATTTCAGTTTCTACTTTCTTACATACATTAATGTCTTCTATGATGTATTCTCCACAATACATAGTTATGTTTATAAAAATATGATTTTATGTCACTTACCTCCTTAATCTCATGTTTTCAGTTTCCATTTACCCCAAGGAAAAAAATATAGATGCCTATATTACTTATTTACCTAGTTAACACTAATTATACTAACTGTAGATTATAAATGGATAATTATAATTTCATATCTTTACCAATCATTATCTCTGTTAATAATATTAACTAAATAAGAGATTCAAAAAGTTGAGGGTTATACAAAGGATGAAAAGGAGGTGAGGGGAAAAAGTCTTTTGTAATTTTCCAGCATCAGAGATATTTTTGGACATATGTCTCACAAAGGAAGTGGAAACCCACTTCCGTTATTCCATTATTTCTTTATAGCATCTGCTGTGTGCTTGCAAAGTGTGTCCATGTGTGTGTGCATGTGCACATCTGCATGTGTGGGTGTGTTGTATGAGGGGGGAGAGGGGTCTGTGTCCCCATGTTGTGTCTTCCCTGAGGAATCTAGTTCTGCTCTTCTTAATCATATTGAGAAAGGGATAAACTCCATAAGAAGACCAGTTTCCACAACCTTTTCCACTCTTCTCATTGGGTCTACCATGAAAAGTGTGATTTTCTTTTTCCTGATACATCAAAATGAATTCTTGTGCCATGTCTCTTAATGAGCTGCCTTCCAATTAAATCCTTCATTTCTTAGAGAAATTACTTTCAGCTAGCTTTTAAGGAAAAAATTAGTGTAGTAAATAATGTCATAGAATTAGATGTTTATTAGGTACAGTGATTACAGTTAAATATGTTTTTATAGTACAGAGTAGTGGTTTTAATAATTTAGTGCAAAAGTAGTTTTTTGTCCACTTGAAATTTCTAGAACAGGTTTCACTTTCTTAGGCTATATCATTTGAAGCATAAACTCCAAAACAATATCTTCTAGATTATATTAATTTCCTAAAAATAAATTGCAAACGTTTGAATATGTTTGTGCATGAACTTGATGAAATGACTAGAAATCATGTAAACTGCAGATATTAGAGACATTGACACTTATGGTTTTTAGCACCTGAAGAGTTGGTAACAGATATTTTTACATAGTCAAGGGTACTAAGAAGGATATTATGTATTCTTGTTTCTTGTTTAAGAAGCAGATCACTAGCATTACTGAAAGTTATTTAAAGAAACTTGGCAAAAATGTTGATCATTTCATCATTAAATTTTCTATAAAGGTAGAAACCAAATATCACAAAAAATTTGAATTTTTTTTGTTTTTAAATGTCAAGGAATAAACTATCATGATAGAGAATTGAAATACTCCATTGACCTTCTTTGAAAAGGAATCAAAATATACCTTTAACTCTCATTAGAAACATTCCCATTTCTTCATGCACTTTTAAAAGCAAACTAACTGTTCCTGGTACTTGAAATTTTTACTACTTTGTATACCTCATCAGTTTAAAACATTTACTTTTCTGACTGCTGAACTATTGAGCAAATTGGTTCTTCAGATCAATATTCTTGCTCCAAAAAGGAAGAAGTCATACCCAGGTGCCTGGCAATGTTTATTCACTGCAAGCAGTTCATCTACTGTTGTTAGGTGGCAAAATGACACTCCATTTTAGGTCTTTAATCATTTAAACTATTTCCTGAGAAAACTACAACTTGGAAAATAAGAGAAATCTCAATGTAGTATTAAATAAAAATGGCCAATCAGTCAACAGAGACACCCGCACTTCACAGCAATCAGCAACAGCTGTCTTCCAATTAAGACTATGATTTTGCAGGTGCTCACAGAAGTCTATGTCAAAATAAATCCACTTATTTAAAATGTTTTGAAGATTTATAAAGTCTTTATTGCTAAGTTCAGGCAAAAAAATAGGGATTTTTCAGACAACTTATTTATGAACGTCAGGGTTCTCGGGTAATAGAAGAAAAGAAGATAAAGACAGGCTGTATTTGGAAAAATGTTCTCTTATTAGCTGTAAAGACTGGAAAGGAGAATTTGAACTACAAATAAGTGATGGCAACAGATGCCACAAATTCAATATATTTTTCAATTACTTATAGGAGAATCTCCATCTATAATAATCCAGTTCATTCTATGTGTGTATGTGACAATGTGTTCTCTTCAGGCCTTCTCTGAAGCATTTCATGCCATTTTTAAATAGATATTATTTACATATAAATCCTAAAGAGATAGTTCTAAATTGTACTTGCATTAAAAGCTAATATTATAAATTCAGATACCTTCATACTACTTCAAGGAATTCTGATGTTGTAGGTATATAGTTAACTTACCTACTAAATCTATGATTTTAAATCATATATACCTAGTAATTACGATATAGCAATCCAATTCAAGATCATTTGGAGACCCTTGGTTTAAAGTTTGTGCTAATAGTTTTGAAATTTCTTCTTAAATATTTGCATTTTATAAATGTTGATTTCCAAAGAAACATACTATCTTTTGCTTCATACACCAATTAGTTCCCGAGGAATGGATAGTGTGTTCTATTTCTGAGTCTATTCACCAAATAGATATAATGACATTATATCTGTTTTAAACAGACCTCATCATGGATGTTTACTTATCTACAGCCCCAGTAATGTTTAATTATCTAATATTTGCTTGATGCTTTGAAGATGGGATAGTCTATTTAAGAACAAAATATTATTGTAGCTATCAAACATCTGCTGTATTCTAGTTAGAGTTTGCAACATTTGACAGTGGCATGTGAAATTATTCTCCTAGGAATTTATAAATTGTCTGAGTTGAACATCTCATACAAGGTGACAAGATACTATTGATTTATTATAAGAGAAGAGAAGGGTTTTAGTGGCCTCTGTTGCTTTGTTAGAGCACTGGGAGAAACTTAAAATAAATTCAATTAGAAGGCAGAGGAGTAACAATTTGGCTTATAGCTCACTTCTCAACAGAAATGATGGAAAGCAGACGATGATAGAATTATGTCATTAGTGCTGAGAGAAAATAACTGCCAATCTAGAATCCTTTATATAGAAAAAAGATCCAAGAATTATTTTTTTTAAGATTTATTTATTTATGCGTATATAACTGGGTAAAGGCCAGAGATGCAGAGGGTGAGAGGATTGACCAGAGACAGAGTGGGGAGCAGAACAGGCAGATCGACGAAGTACACTGCTGAGGGGAGCAGCTGGCAGATCAGGAGAGGTCTGCCGCACCATGTGGATCTCCTCCAGAGCAGGCGGGAATCGAACTCTTGAGGAAGTGGCTTAAGCTTCTCAGTGCAGTGCTTTAGCCCACTGCGCCACCAGGGAGGGCCACCAAGAATTATTTTAATAAAGTATTTTACAGGTTTTATGGATGGGAAAGTAACACTGAAGATTTATGTCTTTATATAGCCCTTTGTAAGACATGATATAGTCTTTTGTCATTTGTATATTGGGGATGAAAGAATAAAACTCCCTGTATAACCTTGTTAACTGTAAAATACACATTCTTTTCAAGGACACATGTCACCCAAAATTTTAAGCACACGTGATGCATAATATTTTTATGTAATATTAAATAGCATGCATATCTAATCTATAATTTAGTAGCTTCACAATGTGTTTTTTCAGTTACTCTAAAAGTTGTATCACAATCATTAAGATACATATTTGTGTATTTCATTTTTAGTTATGTCAGATTTACATGTCATAATATGATCCATCTTCCTGCTAGATTGATTTTTTTTAAAGATTTATTTATTTATTCATACAGAACTGGGGTACAGGCCAGAGGTGCGGAGGGTGAAAGGATCCACCAGGAAAAGAGTGGGGAGCAGAACAGGCAGATCGACGAAGTACACTGCTGAGGGGAGCAGCTGGCAGATCAGGAGAGGTCTCCCATGCCATGTGGTCTCCTCCGGAGCAGGCGGGAATCTAACTGATGCGGAAGTGGCTTTAGCATCTCAGTGCTGTGCTTTAACCCGCTGCGCCACCAGGGAGGGCCTAGATTGATATTTTTTAAAGATGTTCTTATTTAGCATACAGTAACTGGGGTGTAAGCCAATGAGAAGAGTGCTATAAGAGGATTCGCGAGAGGGAGTGGGGAGCAGAACAGGCAGATTTACTGACATATACCCTGAGGAGAACAGCAGGCAAGGTAGTAGAGATCTGCTGCACCATGTGGGTTAGCTCTCTGATGGGCCTGCTGATTTGATAGTGCTTGCAGTGGCTGGGATAGCTTGATAGCAATGTCTATAACCCCGGCCAGCCAGGAGGCCCTGGATTGATATTTGAACATATAATGGAAGAACCGTTATTTAGTACTAATTCTAACATTAAAGGTTATGTCATCTGATAATAGCAATATCACATTAGCTTTGCTTGATTTTGCAAGATAACAATTTTTCCATTCTTTAGTCAACAACATTTATGTGTTATATTTAAGCTAAATTTTAAAAAAGATTTTATTTATTTATGCATACAAGAATGGGGTACAGACCAGAGGTGTGGGTGTGTGAAGATTCACCAAAGTGGGGATCAGAAAAGGCAGATTGCCTGAAATATACTGCTGAGGGGAACAGAGATCTGCTACACTATGTGGGTCAGCTTCCTGGCTTGGGATGGAAACGTGCTGCAGTGCTGTGGACAGCTTCATAGTGCTATGTGCTTTGACCTGTTGCACTATCAGAGAGGGCCAAAGGTAAATTTATCAGTGGCGAATGCTGCATGTAATTAAGTGCATGGCCTTTGTATTTTGCTAGACTATTTATTTAGTCTATTTTATATTTAATATAACTTACAGGTATATTTTACTTTATATTGACCTTCCTTTATTTGTCTTCTACTTGTATCATATTTTTTTTTACTATTTTTCCATTAAATTATCTTTATCATTAAATGGTTCTTGGTATTATTCAATCTTTCCCCTTTTCAGGTGTTTTCTAACTTAGGTGTTTATTATTTGCT